TATATTCGTTTTTTGTAATATATATATATATATATATATAATATCCCAGCAAAATATTGAGTTTTCCTTAAAAATACAAACACGTTATTAACACGTATAAAGGCACTGCGGAAGGCGAGGAAGATGCACGCCAATAATTCATTCAGGGTAGGACATTCGGGGAGGGGGGGGGAAATCTGGATTTGTCTGTTCACCTCTCCCCCGCCGAGACACACCCACCCCTGCTAGACTAGGCCCGAAGCCCCCTCCTCTGATCCATCCCTTGCCCAGCAGGTCCCATACACAATCCCACAAGTGGGACAAAATGGCCAAACCGTGGACAAGAGTGTGTGTCTTTGAACAGAAGGGCATGACTCTAAACTAATCTGAGGAGCCAAATGCAGGGAACAAAACCCAGAAGCTGGGTGCTCAGTGCTCACCCCCCCACAATAGCAGGTTTAATGGAAACTCACTGCCCCACGCAATGTGCAAGAGGCTCACAGCCAGGAGAAACCCCCTTCACCTCCATCCTCTGGGATTCTATACTGGCCAATCAGCCCTATGCTTCGGGGGCTCCACTTATGTACCGACACAGCGCCACCTACTGCCCATCTTGTGGAACAGCAAGCAACAAGGAGGCACGAGGAAAGGATAGAGGCTTTCGAGCGTGGATCTAATTTGCATCAGACATTAAACCTCACCGTTCCCTGGGGAAAACCCAGTGGTCTCCCTTCCCTCTTCCGTGATGCTACATCTGTGGCAGTTTGTGGCCAGGTTCATAGCTAGGAAACGGCTCCGAGTGCTACCAGGGCAAGGGGGGTATAGAGAGACAAAATTTCAGTGATAATTATGGCGTGAAAGGCAAGCAGGGAAGGTGGACTAAACCTTAAGATTACCCAGCACGGTCCTGGATTTTCCCAAGGGTGGCAGTGAACGGAGGTGGCGAGGTGGGGGAGACTGGATACAGCTCCCCTGAAAAGAGCAAGTTTACAAACTTTCGAGACGAAGCGACATCGGAGCTTTGGCCATGGAATCCCTGTTGGTGGGGCAAAGGATTCTGAGGGTATGTTTCAGGGGGTGCAGGCAGCTCAGACAGGCCAGTTGGAACTCAAAGCTGCCTTAATCACGACCCGCTTGGCAGTGAACGGGGGACGGATGGATCGGGAGCCATAAGCTTGAGCTCCATCACTGCAGCCTCAGAGGAGCCCCCGGGTTCCCGAGAACCCAGTTTGAAATCCAGTGCTCTAGGGAAACAGCCCTCCACTCCTCTAGCCCCGGCACCATCTTTAATCTGCCCTGGACCCATTTTTGAAACATTCGTCTGCTGAGATTCGTCGTCCCCTCTCTTCTTCAGACAATCTCTCTCCTACCCCTCTTCTCTCCCCGCCCCCAGAAGACGAGTGGGATATTCCTGGAGCAACCCAGCTGAGGGTATGCGGAGGTGCAGCCGTAGTCCAAGGCTGGGTGGGAAGGGGGCGGCGAAGGGTTAAAAGATTCAGAATGAAAAGGTGTTTCTTTTTGGAGGGTCGGACTGGTGCCGGAACCCCTGCAGATCTTCAGACAATCTCTCTCCTACCCCTCTTCTCTCCCCGCCCCCAGAAGACGAGTGGGATATTCCTGGAGCAACCCAGCTGAGTGTATGCGGAGGTGCAGCCGTAGTCCAAGACTGGGCAGGAAGGGGGCGGCAAAGGGTTAGACGAGTCAGAATGAAAAAAGGTGTTTCTTTTTGGAGGGTCGGATTGGTGCCGGAACCCCTGCAGCCCGGGCACTGGCTTTAAGAGGGGTGGTCAAAGGGAGGGAGGGAAAGTGGTCAGGGGCAATAAAGGCAGGAAGGGATCGAAATGTGAAAGAAGGAAAGACAATTTTAAGGGAAAGACGGAGGGGGGCACAGTAGAAGAGTTACAGCAAATTTAGGGTAGCGAAAACACATGGAGAGCAGGGTCCTCTCAACCAATGGCCTTTTAAAAGATGCCTGCGTGGGAGTCTAGCTATCCCAGCGCGGGATAAAGACTCCCTGCCAGGCGCAGAACAGCCACACCTGGTGGGGTGGGGTCAGCAGAGATAGCACACCACCCTTGGAGACCTCCCCTGCGGGCCGCCGTTCCCGGGAGATCTGGCGGGCCGCCGTTCCCGGGCTGGGTGCCAAATTCTGCGACCGTCGGTCCGAGTGCAAACTGGCTGTTCCCAGAGCTCCGCCGGTCGGAGCTCCCATCTTTGGTCCCCCCCCCAAAAAAAAGACAACTTGTCATTTGCACCAACCCCCTCTTTGGCACCGGCTCGACCTACTTGTGTCGTCAAAGGTTACAAGGCCCCCCGCGCATCTTTCGAACTTGACGGAAAAGCCGCTCCCCGGCCGTGGCCTTCCGCGTAGATGGAACTCCTTGACCGCCAAAAGGGGGCCTTTGTAACGTGGCCCGCAGAAAAAATAATACATATACAGACGCACAAACACCCCCCAGAATCTTTCTCTATTCTACGAATCCTCTATACAAAACGCAGCGACGTTCCCGCTCAGGCTGCCGATGCTGGGAAAGGACCATCCGGCAAGAGAAAGGTGGCTGGGGCAGAGGGTCTCTTCCTCCTTGCTGGCTTGAGATGGGCCTAGAGAGGAGAAAACAGCCAAGGTGTAACAACCCGTGACAACGGCAACGACGGAAAAGCTGGGAATCGGAGGACGGCGGACAGCCGTTTTGCAATACGGAGCAGAGTTGTGCCCTTCCGAGTCAACAGAACTCTGCTCGAGGACGGCACTGGAAACCCTCCACCTCAGGACCAAGCTCATTGCGAGCCGAACCTAAACCGCTCTGAAATTTCGGCCCGGCTCGTAATAGGCTCAACCTGACCTGGATGGCCCAGCCTAGCCTGATCTCATTGGATGTCGGAAGCTAAGCAGGGTTGGTGGTCCTGGCTAGTACTCGGATGGGAGACCTCCAAGGAATACCAGGGTTGTGACACAGAGGTAGGCCATGGCCAACCACCTCTGAAACGTCTCTCACTCTGGAAGCCCTACGGGGTCGCCGTAAGTCAGATGTGACTTGACGGCACTTTCCACCACCACAACAGGCTGGGTTCTGTGATTTGCGCCAACTACCTCCCCCTTCTCTTTTTCACCAAAGTCTTTCTGACCATAATGGAGGAGGAAATTACACCCGGGGGGGGGCACCAGGACCTAAGCATTGGTGGACGACATCCTGGATTACCAGAAGCCCTAGTTAAGAGTCCCTGCGGCCTCTTGATTTCCCTAGCCACAGAAATAACATCTCCAGCAGTCCTGGACCAAGGGGGTCTCGTCGGCTGCTTGTGCATTGGCTAGAAGAGGGATCTTGGTGCTCGGGGGGCCACAGTGGGAGGGCTTCTGGAGTTCTGGCCCCACTGGTGGACCTCCTAATGGCACCTGGGTTTTGGCCACTGTGTGACACAGAGTGTTGGACTGGAGGGGCCACTGGCCTGATCCAACATGGCTTCTCTTATGTTCTGATGTCTGAGGCAGTGATGCTCTGTCTTCTTGGTGCTCGGGGGGGGCAGCAGTGGGAGGGCTTCTGGAATTCTAGCCCTGCTGGTGGACCTCCTGATGGCACCTGGGTTTTGGCCACTGTGTGACACAGAGTGTTGGTGTGGATGGGCCCTTGGCCTGATCCAACATGGCTTCTCTTATGTTCTTATGTCTGGTGCAGTGATCCTCTGTATTCTTGGTGCTGGGGGGGGCAACAGTGGGGGAGGGCTTCTGGGGTTCTGGCCCCGCTGGTGGACCTTCTGAGGGCATCTGGGTCTTGCCCACTGTGTGACACAGAGTGTCGGACTGGATGGGCCACTGGCCTGATCCAATATGGCTGTTCTTAAATCCCTACCAAGCTCTGATGTTCATTGGGCAACCTGGGCCAGTCCCTGCCTCTCAGCCTAAACCTACTTGGGGCAGGGTTCTTGGGAAGATGAAAAGGGGTGGCTGGAGAACCAGCCCTGGGCTCTGTGGAGGACAGGGGGCACAAGAGGAAGACATCAATCTCAACAGACAGTCGGTGGCCCCTCCAAAGCCCTGATTACAAATCACACCGCCTGAAGTGCAGACGACCTGCTCCAAAGCCCTGATGGTTCTCCCCTGCAGAGGTTAGGCAAACGGAAACAGGTTTCCCAGAAGGCACATGCAACAAGCTCCGCCCCCTGCTCCCAGCAGCCCTCGGTCAGAGCAAGAAGCAGCCAGGCAAGTTGCAGAGCTTCCCCCGGTCCAAAACAGTCCAGTGGTACCTTTAAGACCAAGTTTTATTCAGGTACAGGCTCTCCCTCCTCTGCGAGGACAGATCTGCACGTTCCACCCCC